TTCGCAAAATTAAGTCAGTTAAAATTTAACATTTTTTATGCCAGAACTATATATATATATATTGATAAATAATAATGGTGTTCAAAATGGTTTATTTTGTACATATTTTATTACGACACTTGTTCCGCAGCCACCTTGTATTTTCTTGCGCGCGTAGGATTGTGGGATCTCTCTTATGCTGGGGTGGTATTCTGGTCACCGTCTCTGGTCTCTTGTCTCTCACAAGCCGGTCGCTGATTGGCTAATCATTTGGATTAGCCAATCAGAGATCGTCTTGTGAGAGAGGAGAGACCAGCGACGGTGACCAGAATATGGCCCCTGGATCTAGTTTCAAGAACTTTCTTCAGTCGACCGCGATTGAACCTCGTTTCAGTCGAGATTGAAACGGTCGAGGGAGGTCGCACCAAGGGGAACGGGGTATAGGGCACTAGTTTAGTAGTGTTACAGAGTATAATACGTATATTTTAATATATTTTTTAAAAGAAACTAAACCACTGAGAAATGTTACGTGTGTTTAACAAGGTTCGGAAAACTTTGAAAATGTTAACAACGGGTTCGGCCGAACCTGTGCGAACCCGCTGAATATCACCACTGTATGTACCAATACATCCACCACATATTTTATTTCACCAAGTACGTTTTTATTATTTTATTTTTAATTGTAGCCCTTATATCGTGGGTAGCGATTCGGAATGTAATTGTGATATTAGAAATGCATTTAGAGAAGTCTGCGGTTTTTACTGGCTTATCGAATAAACGATACGAATGGACCCTAGACCATCACTGACGCGCAATTGACTGATTGCCCCTGGATGTCGGCTTCTTACAGAAACACAGCCTCCCTATCATCAAATGTCACGGCACGCCCCTGGTATAATTAGATTTTATGAACAAATTTTACATACATTAAAGCATATTTTTTGTTTTTGTATAGTAATAATTTACAAGGAATCAGTGCCGTGCCGTGACATTTATTGATAGGGAAGCTGTGTTTCTGTAAGAAGCCGACTTCCAGGGGCAATCAGTCAGCGCTAGTCTAGGGTCCATTCGTATCATTTATTCGATAAGCCAGTAAAAACCGTAGTCTTCTCTAAATGTATTTTTAATTAATAGATTATCTAACACATATAATAAATAAGCAAGTTCAATATAATTACCTCTGTTATATTAGATTTAATAGATTCCCTATGCCCTCTAAATGCCAATTCTTGCTTTGGTAACATCTACTAATTTAAATATAATACTATATATCTATTAGCCGTAACTTTGTTATAATTGTCAATATTTATTTTATATCATTTACTAATGTTAAATTCTATTCTATTTTGATTTCCAAATTGCTTCAACTTTACGAAAGAATCAATGTGACGTTACGATTTTCGTGTCTTTTGCCAGCTTCACTCAAATTATTTAAATCGTCAAAGCCATTGTTATTCCACACACTAATTTCATTTGAAAATAATAGGTAAGGCCAACAAAACAATTTTTGCATTTTTATGCATCCAGAAAGTCTTTTTATGTCTTCATAAATTTTATCGTGAAAATGTCTAACAGATTTTTTTTATTGAAGTATTTATATTTAATTATTTTAGGCATTGGGCTTTCTCTTTTAATAACATTTTCATTATATAATCTTGAGCCAAAACTTTTTAAAAATAAATTTTCAATATCGCAATTACATTCTAAATCGCTAGTCATAATATAAGGGCTAAAATTAAAAATAAAATTATAAAAACTTACTTGTTAAAATAAAATCTGTGATGGATATACAATTATACATACCTGGTACAAAATATTCAATTGTATGAATATACTTTTAAAGAAAATTATAAATTTCTGGCCTGTTTTAAAATCAAAAGTTTACAGAAACTAGCAGACCCCGCCACGCGTTGTTGTGGCTCAAAATGTTTCTATTATAAATTTATAACACTTCCCCCGTGGGGGGGATTTTTCGAAAAATTTCTTCTTAGTGTACTTTCTCTTGACGTACCCTATTAAAACGCAGTCAAAAACGTAAAAACCCGCATCTAAAATAGTATAAATAGAAGCAGAGTTCTTTACCGTAAGCCTTAATCTATCCCTTCAGTGGGGTTAAATTTCGACATATATCTGTGACCGTAGGGTCGGCACCTCTTTGGCGCCCTGTCAGGATGACACCACCGAGTCTCTAGGGGACTCGGAAATCGCGACGTTAAGTCTAAAGATTCGCGAGCGGTAGCGTGTGAGCGCTTGGATTCGGAGTAGAGGTGAGGAGAGAGACGAGGAAGTGACTCACTCGGACTCCATATGTTCTAACAAAAAATCCATTTTAATAATAAACAAAGAAAATACAGAGATATCGGGCATATTAGCGGACTTAATTATACTATTCCGTTCGAGAGAGAGAGTTTACAACCGAATCGCGGGTTGATAAATACCTTTCTTTTTCCTAGGTCGCAGATCTGTAGTATGATGACACTCTTGACTCCTCTGAAATGGTCTTTCCACTAGTTCTTGTCCGTTAATTGGATCTCGGAGGTGTGGAAGCACGGAAGTGGGGTGAGATTCTTAAGGAGACACGGTGTTACTTCTGTCAAGGTGTTATTTCGGAATTTTGATGCACGGGTTTTATCCTGGGTTGCGGTTTTAATCCTGGGCACGGTTTGAATCCTGGATCACGGTTTTAATCCTCGGATGACGACTTCTGTAGAGGGACTTCGGATGACGACTTTTGTAGAGGGACTTCGGATGACGACTGACTTCGGGGTCGTTTTTCTTTTTCCCTTTTTCATTCCTCTTGGGTTTTTTCCATGAGGTCAGGTGATGGCCTTTAACGGTCGCCCGTCCAATATGTCCTTTCCATTCAAAGTTCCTGGTGACACATCCCTGACTAACTTGATCCGACTCAACAAGGAACAAACTCCGTGGGAAATAATTTTTATGGCTTTTAGCCTAACTCGATAAAACGTTCGAATTTAACCGATTAAAGTTTCCAAATTAAAATTTAAAATAACACTTTATTGTGGGTCTGTTCGTCCCTCACATATCTATATTTTACTATATAGACAACGTATTTTTCGTTTATGACCACTAACCATGAAAACTACTGAACCAATCGTTACCAAATTTTAACTGTAGCATCTTTATGACCCTCTGAATGTTTACCACTAATCAAACCTGCAGATTTTTTTGTTAAACATTCATATAAATTAAAAGATATCATCTAGGGTTAAGGCTTTTATGTCCAACAGATGGCGCTACAAGTATGACGCCCTAAGTTTGCTTTTCTGTGAGGACGAACTAAAGCAGACCATCTTCTATCTATCTATATAAATAAAAATGTAATGTTCGTTTGTTCCTACCAGTTTCTTTGAAATTTTCACACAATTCGAATACGCACATGTTTTATATAATATACGTGTCGAAATTCCCCCCCACTGGGGGGAGATGAACAGGATTAAGGCTTACTGTGAAGAACTTGGCTTCTATTATACTATTTTAGATGCAGTTTTTTGCGTTTTTGATTGCGTTTTAATAGGGTATGTCAACAGAATATACACTAAAAAGGGATTTTTCAATATGCCCCCCGTGGGACAGGATTAAGGCTTACCTTGAAGAACTTGGCTTCTATTATACTATTTTAAATGCGGGTTTTTGCGTTTTTGATTGCGTTTTAATAGGGTATGTCAACAGAATATACACTAAAAAGGGATTTTTCAATATGCCCCCGTGGGGGAGAGGGACAGGATTAAGGCTTACCTTGAAGAACTTGGCTTCTATTATACTATTTTAAATGCGGGTTTTTGCGTTTTTGATTGCTTTTTAATAGTAATCAAAAGAGAATGTACACTAGGAAGAAATTTTTCGAAAAAAATTTCCCCCCTCCATACGGGGGAAGTGTTATACATTTATAATAGATACATTTTGAGCCACAACAACGCGTGGCGGGGTCTGCTAGTATTATATAAAAACACGTGCGTATTCGAATGCAGCGTTGTGTCAAAATTTCAAAGGAATCGATAGGAACAAACGAACATTACATTTTTATTTATATAAATAGATAGACGATGATCTGCTTTAGTTCATTTTCACAAAAAAGCATAATGCCTCACAGAAAAGCAAACTTAGGGCGTCGTACTCGTAGCGCCATCTGTTGGACATAAAAGCCTTAACCTAGATTATATCTTTTAATTTATATGAATGTTTAACGGAATAATATACAGTCTATGTCCACCGAGGTTCCATTCTAAATATTGGTGAAAGAATTTTTGAAATCGGATGAGTAGTTTCGGAGATTACCTGCTGCAAACAAACTTACATACGTACATACATACATACAAACATTACCTCTTTATAATAATAGTATAGATAACTGTTTGGAAAGAGCTCTAAATGCATTGATTGAATAGAATAGTATTAGAAATAGAAGGTATTCATTTGTTCATGCATACAAATGATATAGACCATATTAATACTGTATATGGTCTAATATTATAGAAGTAATTTTTTTCTTCTTTTGAAACAGCAACATCAAAAAGCTTTTATATTTCTATAAAAGTAATAATTTTGAAATACAGTAAATTCCCACATCGGGCCCTTCCATATTTGGACTGATCAAAGGCAACCAAATATTGTACACTCCTCCGAATCCTACTTTTCAATACCGCAGTACTGTACATTTTATTTTTTACTAGCTTACCCGTTGCACATTGCTGCGATCTCAGAAGAAACAAAATTTAAGCAAACTCGTTATGATAAAATTAAATTTACATTTTATCATTTTACTGAAATGAAACTTATTATTCCTTTTCATCGGGAAACATTTCAAAATGTCGTTTCAATTCTATTTATTTATTGGAGTGCTTGTGGATACACGATATTTTTTGTTTTTCCGTCTGGTGCGTACACGAATAAATCAGGTTTTCCGACGCGTGAGCTGGCCACATACAGTTGCCCATGTGAGAAGCACGGATTCTCCAAATCTAGCCCACACACTTGCGGCGATTGTCAGAAGTGCGAATTCCCCATTTTTATATATTTTATTTAATCCTTTACAATTTTAATTATTTAATTGCTCCTTCCTCTCTTCCTTGGCCTCTTGTGAAATTTCTGATAGTTGGATAATAAACTGTTTTATTGTAATTTGTCTTTTTAAATTATTTTGAGTCCATAATAAAATTTGGAAAAGGGGAGATACCTAGATCGGTAAAATACGCGAATTTCCTCCTACAACTTCGGTTGTTGTTCGGGATATAGTTAAGGTTTTAACAAAGTTCGAGCGAATACATAATTAGCAAAAAAAAGTTGAAATAAAGTTGAAAAAATTATTACAAATATCGTAAATAACAGTTCACAAATGCATATATAGAGATATTTTGGAGGGGGGAAATGATCTTCACAGTTTGAAATCGATCGAACACACTGTAAAATGCTCGTATACACGCGCGCCATCTATCGTAGGATAAATGTACTATGCCAGAAATCTTCGCGGGAGTGTATTAAAAAACTTTCCAAAGTTTCATATCAATCGGATAAACGGTGTGGTAATGCATAGACAGACAGACACACACACACACACACACACACACACTTACATTCATTTTTATACATATAGATTAAAGTTGCCTTTAAGTTAGTAGAGGGGCACAATGCATCAACCAGCACCAACGTAATAATGATGAGGCATTGGTGATATAACAGCTTGCCAGTAAATCAACAAAAAAACAAAGAACTTTAACATAATATTTTCAAAATTAATTGTAATTGTCAAAAAAGTCAAAATAAATATTTTTTTATACATACAGTAGGCATATTATAGTCTTATTTAAAAATCCTTTCATTCAGATCACTCCCACCAAATTAATTTGGATGCAAGTATTGATAAATTTTACAAAATAAAATATAAGATATACAGATAAATTATAATTTTGGAAACTTACAAGACGAATTAACAAAATAGATGTCATTTCACTTCCTCAATGGTAATAGTATTGTTAAAGTAATGTCAGTGTATGAAACTGCTAACCACAAATAACCTTTTGTATTATAATTTTTTTTTATAGTTAATATATGTAATATAAATCTTTTTCTGTCATTTAACTAGCTGCTGAATTGTTCTGCTGAAATATTGCTGAATTGTTCTTTGTATCCAGAATACATCATCTGATAATATCTCTATTAGGAAAGTTATTGTTATGACAATATAGATTGTGCTAGTGCACAGTGTTATTTTTACATTAATATTACAATTATATATAAATATATAGTAATTGGATAACTGATCTCTCTAGTATCTCTGATAAGATTTTAATTTATTCAAGAAAGATAAAATATAACAAATTGTCTTTTCTAGCAATTCATATAGACAAATTTTATTATAAATATCCTGTTGAAATACAGTTTGACAATTTCATATGTTAAGAAAACATTTCAGATCCTAAATAAAATTATAATGCTCGTATCTTAAATGTTCACAACAGAATTCTGAGCATAGATTTACAAAGTATTAACAACATTAATATATATTTTTCTTAATAGTTTTGTAATACCACATAAATTTCTAAAAGTTTTACAAACTGGCAAATACCAGAGTAAATGTGAAAATTTTGTCTTTTTTTTTTGTATTGCCTTACCGTAAGTGGCAGTTTAGCACCTGTTAAATTAGAATACGTGCCCAAGAATTGATGGTAAGGAATGATCCAAAATTGATTCTTAATAACAAGTGTATGTTGATTTGTTTTTAATTATATAAAAATTTATTATCCAGTAAATACTCTTGCATAGCTGTTAAAGGCTATTTTAAAATATGGTCCTGAATATATTTTTTAGTCAGTAAAATTCATCAAAAAACAAAAATAATCTTACAAAATATAATAAAAACTGAAAATACAAATAAAAAAAAATAGTCATGGCACACTTGATTAATGGTTTGAACACAATATGTATGTGAATATGTATGTGTATTTGTGTGTGTATAATGTGTCATCAGATATGAAATTAGTGATATGTGAATCAATTTATGACAAATATGAATGTGTTTCCAAAATATATGATTAAAAGATATTATGATGAGACATGTTTAGAATACTGCAATGATATATGATGAATGACTGTTCCCCTTTGTCAAAACACTTCATTATTTAATATAAATAACTTAAGAACTGTTCTACGATTTTCAGCTTAAAACATTATAAAACGTCCCCTTCCTGAAATAGTAACAAAGTATTAGCAGAAATAAATCTCATTGTCATATAACAGTGTCTGAATCATTCATATAAATAGGACTTGGTCTTCCATTAAAATAAAGAACTGAGTTAGGCCTGATTTCTGGTTGAGAATCTGGTTTAGAACTGCAATATAGTGGGTTTGTCTGTCCTCTATATAGGTCAGCAGTGCAGTAACTGTCATGACTCGAACTATCTAATTTACTGTCCATTAGTTTAGTAACTGGATTTTGATAATATCTTTGTCTAGAACTGCTCCGTTTAGATCTGGTAGATCTTTGTTTCACTTTACGTGGTGTCATCGGTCGTTGATAAAGGGTGCCATTAGCATCATGTAATGTCTGAGAACGATATTCAATGCTATATGGAAGGCTCCTGGAGTTTACCCTTGCTGTAGCTGTAATTAATAAAACATTTAAACAACATTGATGACGACAAACATGCAATTCATATAATTAATGTGCATTTTTTAAAATATTTAAATAACATGAGAGCAAATACAAATTTCAGATAACATGCAGTATATTTATATAGTATATAATTATCACTTCTATAGAAATGGACAAAACAAAATATCAAAAACAATGTCAAAAAAATGTGCTGACTAATACAAGTGATATCATCACTATGCTTGAATCATATAAAGCATTGCCATAGTCACTACAATCAATCACTATACTCTGATTTTCAATCATCAAACAAAACAGCTTTATTCGGAGTTACTTCATTCCTATATACTATATGATTGTATAGTGTCCAAAAATCATGTGTTGAAATATCTCCAGATAAAGCAGTTTTGTTTGATGTTGATGTTGTTTAGAAAATTTTTAAATAAATATTTTAATTTATCTACTAATTTCTATATTAACTTATAAGTAAACCTTATTCTATTAAACATTATTGTGAAACTACTGTATAATTTATGACAAACTAACCTTTTGCACATTTCCAGCAATGCCATTGACATAAATCAGGGGTTGCCAAACTTTTTTAACCGTCGACCCCCAACCATTTTCCAAAGCCTCACATTGACCCTCACTGTAAAGTTTTATTACAAGTGTATGTGTATGAGCAAAAAAAAAAAAAAAAAAAAAGGTTGTGACCCCTTAGCCACATCGACCACTTTGGTGACCCCTGACATGAATGAAGAGATGAAAAGCCTCATTCAGGGGCTTTCACTTTTTCAAAAATCATTCCAAATTTCAAAAGTTCAACTGAAAAGGAATAAAAAAGAAAATCTTCTATAGCAGCCTGACACTGGCGCCTGAACAAGACCAAAAATATTTCCTTTTCATTTACATTGATGGCACTGCTGGAAACGTATGAAAGGTCAGTTTGCCTTATTCTATTTTCATTTAAGATGTTTTGTAAGAAATTTTACAACTTATAAACTTATTATAGTAATGAAAATAAAATTCTATTAACAAACTTATTCATTAAATTGGATGAGAGTGCAAACTTTTTATTGTCACTGAAAGTTATAAAAAAATAATTTATATAAGGTTTGTAATATTTAATAAATTGTTTAGCATATGCTATTGTTTAAACAACTGTATCTAATACATTTACACAGTCAATTGTGACTTATATGATCTTATTTTTATACAGTTTTAAAATGAGATCTTATTACAAGAGTAATAATAATGAATAAATCTTTTTTTTGGTGTCTTCAAAATACACTATAAAATTAGTGTTTAATAAGTCAAAAATGAATAAATCTTATTATACTCATAAAATTAATTATTTTTAAAAGCTTACAAAATGATCATTAATGAAAATCTTAATTGTTAAACTTTTAAATTTTAATTTATTTGTAAAAAACAAACACTCTTGACAAAAAGTATGCACCCAGGTACAGTACAATTGTCTAATTATTGCAAAACTCATTACATAAGCTATGCTTCAGACAGGTATTTAAGAGTTGTGGTGTGATTGTACTCCAGATAATGACAACAGATGCCAAAATCTAAAAACTATAATTTACAAATTAATACAAAATAAAAATTGATGTTCTCTTACATCCTTCACAACACAGGAACACAATTAACATTTGTAATGTTTTGAAATTTTTTTACAAGAATCTAGTTGCAGAGGAACTTTTAATTAATTTATATACTCATTGGCAGAGAATGTTAATTGTGTTCCTATGGTTGTGAAGGTTGTAAAAGGACAAATTTTTATTCGTATTTAGTTGTCAATTTGTAATACTTTTAAATTATTCACTTTTTAAATGTGATGAAAACTTAACACTAAGTTTCAGTAACACAGTTCAAGGTCAATTCAACTTAGAAAAGACATTAAAACAGAAGATATACTAAAAGTTTTTAAGTAATTCACAATAAAATCTTTGAAATAAATAATGTATATTTAAAACATAAAAGCACATAATTGTATTAAATAGTGCTCTCAGTTAAATATATTCTTCTAAACTAAATTTACATTATTCTACTGTTAAATTGTACAGTACACAATGTAACAAAATGCCCAAGAGTACAAGAACTGAATGGCTTACTACACACTTAATGAAATGAGTCAGACTCATTATTTCTGTATGATTGAATGATTTATTAAAAAAAATTGTATGTATTATAAAATTTTGAAATACTATAAACTCCAAATAATCTTGGTTAATCTGAGATTTTAAGATCCAAAAAAGGCATCATTATATTTTAGTTTTGCAGAAAATTTCTAACAGCAAATAATTCAATATGCATACTTACATAAAACATCCAAACTCCAGCACTAACATATTAGAACAAATAGTATTAATATTTCATGTTACTGCTGGAGTTTGTGTGTTTTACATAAGTTGATTGTTTCTACAGTTAAATAGTAGTTGTTTATGTACACTCAGTGTATTTTAAAATGGAAACAAGTTACTAAGTTATGAAATTAAATTTAACAAGTCAATCAGAATTTTTTGCCACATTATTTGTTAACACATTCACTGTCAACAATGCCTTGGAGCAGGTCTTCACTAAAACACTGCATGTTCAAACCCTGCTCATAAGACTTGTAAGTTTGCTGTATTTCTTGTAAATAAAATTTTTTATTGTTTTATTTATTACATATTTCTTTGGCATTTTTAAATACATATAATAAGTAAACAAAATGTAAAAAAAAATTTTTCAACACACATCTAGGGACATTTAACATGTTCACTGTCTCCAAAAATGCAAAGTTAATTTATTTACTTTTTATTCATAAATGCTTACTTTTGTTATCTGGTATTATACATTAATTAAAGATATTTTATTGGATCTAAAGTTAAATAAATTAACAAACAAATCTTTAAAGCCTAGCAATAAACTTATTTAATTAACACTTTTTAAAATTATCTTTAGGTTACATCAGCATACAATATTCAAATATTCTGTCAATGTAATTTAAAGATAACTTTAACATTTTGAAATATTAAACATGCTAAAATATTAACTTTAATATTTAAAAAGATTTTTAAAGCNGTTCTTATTTTTTGAAACATGCCATCTACTACATTATAAATTCTACTTTATCCTTATCCTTTCAGAAAGGCCAAAGACAATAAGTTCAATCAACGCAAGCGAGAGATGGAGAACAATGCCCCAACAAAAACTACTTAAAATAAATTACAAAGACCTGGATCTAGCATTAATCTACTGAAAATAACTTGCAGAAATAAATTAATATCTTATTACTTGGCCATATATAAATATATATTTTCATGCTGTCAGTTATTAGCATAAACAAAGAAATTATTAATTGGCAGCCAGAAAACAAGTATTATATCACAGGAAAGCAAATATACGTACATCGGTTTCAGATGCAAATGGGATGCCTTTGATGGGGAATGATAAGCCGAGAAAGAATCAAAGCCACCAATGAAATCAACTGCAATAGAGAGAATGAGTTATTAAAACAAGTTAGTGTGGCTTCACATTCACAAATACATCTCTTTATTTTTAGGATGGTCTTTGATCTTTCTCTGATACCAATGAATTTATTCATAATATAACTTTTCAGTGAAATAGTAGTTAGTCTTAAATTCATTAAGTGTATTTAACAAAAGCAGTTTAAATTCACTGTAGTTTCATTTTCTAAAGTAGAAAATAATTAAATATTAATTTTCTAATGAATATTTTTATATTATTAAAATACTTAACTGGATAATTGATCACATTTGCTTATGTTAAATAATTTTATATAGCAAAATTTTTATTCAAGAAATGATTTGCTTTAATAAGTTAATCAACTATTAAATAAACAAAGAATTTTACTAATAAAGTTCCATTTTCATCACTACAGAATAAGACATTTTAAAATTTATTGAAATTTATTTGCAAGTTTATTAATTCAAACTAATTTTTTTTATTTAATTGCACTGATAAAAATTCATTAATTAAAGTTTTTAAAGCACATTGTTTTAATAATACTCTCATGTTATTTTTGTGCAATTAAGAAGCAAAATCTGGTTATAAAGTTTTTCATTAATCAAATGTTATTAATGTTTGATTAATAACATAATTTGATTAATAACAATAAATTATAAATTTTCATTTTAATAAAAATGAAAATTTATTTTTACTCTTCTTAATAACTACAGAGTATGTATAATGAGCCATGCAACAGTATATAGTTATTAAATTTGTAACTAATTTTATCTTAATACGTGATAATATTAGTAAATAACAGTAAATCATTTTGCAATATCTCTATTTTTTATTATTTTCAAAACATTTAAGTATAATAAATGATTGGCTTTTATGATTTCAGACTAATTACATATTTTGTTTACTAAAAACACTTGTTAAACAAAATTAAATATTACAAACCAATTATGAAAACAAAATACTGTAATTATAATCAAGTATGCAGGTATTTTATAATTATCACCAGATTTTATTTCTTATTGTGAAAAGTGCAATTATCATTTTAATTAATGGTGTATGTTACTATCATTATGAATACTTTGATATGAAAACTTTTGACATCTTTAAATTTAAAATAACTGCTTCAAATAACTTACTGCAATACTTACAAGTATCATCTTCTCGAGTGTATGCATAAAATGTATAACAAGCAGATCCAAATCCACAAAGCTAAAAAAAGAAAAACTATTATTTAAAAATTTTAAATGGCTTTTGCTAAATTTATTTGATAATGATTGTATATTACAAGCTTCTTTTAATTTTATAATATTCAGTAAACCTGATGATGATCCATTAAAAGGAGTGGAAGTACTTCACATAAAACAAATACTGGGAAATTAAAGGTGAATTTTTTATGGTACATATTCCTGCTAATTTATTAATTATTATTTTAAATTAACTATATTGCAAGACTTTTCATTATCTTAAAAAAAATGATAAAGTAATTTTATTATTTAATTTCCAATTCTATTAAACGGTTATAAGCACAGTACATTGAATAATATCAACACCACTACTATTCAATGTGTGTGTTAACTGAAGATGTCATAACTGGTTGAAAATATTTTTTTGGCTTCCCTAAACAGCTTAAACTTAGCTTAGATTTAAACGTGATGCAAAATTTTACCCATTTACACAATTTAATATAAGTTTGTTGAATTACTGTTGTTATAGATAGATTTAAATTAAATATAATGTAGTAAAATGCAAATATTTATTTATCAGAACTGAAAATGAAACTGCAATAGTAGATAATTCTGACAAGTTATGACCATAAATTAATGTCATATTTAAATTTGCTTAATACAGTGAAATTAGGCACATCTTTATGAATTTAATCTGCATATTTTTTGAATAAGTTGTAGAATATAAGTTTATTTTATATAAATAAAAAGAATATAAATTGGAATATATTTCTTTGCATCTATTTTAACTTATATAAGAACAAAAAATAGCACTACTCCTGTTATTATTATTATTAATTTTTCTCAGTTTAAAATTGTAAATTTTTAGTAGTAAATAAATTGTTATGGATGCATTAAAAAATAATGGATGTTCATGAAACTTTTCAATTTCAATCACACTGTATAATTCAATTCTGTACTGTAATTTGCAATATTAAGTATAGAAGGACTATATATTTACTAAACAATTGTATTAACATAAAAAGAATTTTAAATGAAATAAAATTTAAAACTTACAGCTAAAAAACATTGGATGCCAGCTTGTATACATTCTACATAATAATATTGTAAAATACAACCCTCAACAGTGGTTGGAAGAGGAAAAAAGTGCTGTTCCTCTGGAATGCCTGAAAAATTGAAAGATGACTTGCATCCTATGCCGTGCATCTCCCACCAGCTTTTACTTCCTGTACCCATATTGAGAATGCTGGAATCCTGAATAATAAATTTTATTCTTTTAATAAAACTTTTATTTATAACAAAATAAAATATTTTTTAAATTATAATAAAGCAAGGAAATCTAATTTAAATGCAAATAAAATACATATTATTCAAATATGTAATGAATTTAACTATTGTATATAATTACATTATAAGATTCTTTATACAAATATGTTTTAATATACAATTTTTTTTAATTAATATATTAATTTATTATAACTTCATGTATAATTTTGCAACTAATGCAAAATTATATATGAAGTTGCAGAACTCTTAAAGAAGTNGATTATATTATAAGATTCCAAAAAGTATTTCAAGCTAATCAACTTTCAATGTGTTTTTTGAAATAATTTGTAATATGAAGAAAAAAATCTGCTTTGTCAAATCCATTTTTTAAACAACACACAATATTAAATAATATAAGAAATTTTTAAAATTTAACAAAAATAAAACAATTCTAACATCTAAAAACAATCTTAATTAGATAACAAATTATTTGAAATTATATTTATATTTAAAATTTTTGATATAATCTGGTTAAAATTTTCATTATTCACAGCCAAATTATGAAAAAAATATTGCTAAAATTTTGTATTCAATGCATAGCTAAATTGTATTCTTAATTACTCTAATTGTTATGAATTAATATATTTTACTTACCTTATTTAATACTCCTGTTTCTAAATAAAAACATATCACAAAAATATTCCAGGCTAACCATAACAATGTCCATACTATATACTGAAATAGAGATTTTTAATATTAAAAAATAAATAAATAATGTTTATAAAAGAAATTTAATAAAGAAAAGAGGAAAAAAATAATTTGTATACTTACAATAGCAATATATTTTGGCCTGTACTGATAGGCTCCAAAAAAACCTAATATCACAACAATAATTTGGACAAAATTTACAACAATTGGTGACCACATATATCCAAGAAAATCAAAAATTTGTCGCTCAATAGTAGCAATCTGAAAATTAAAATTAATACTAATAATTTATTAATTTGTGATGCTTACTAATATTTATGATATTAAAAATATTTAATATTTACAATCATATTCTCTTGATAACCAATGCAAATGGAAAATCTCTATTGTAATAATTCTGTATATACTATAAGAAGTTAAAACTAAGTTCTTGTGCATAAACTATCAGAATTTAACTTTGAAAATTTAAGATTTGTTATGGATGCATTAAAAAATAATGGATGTTCATGAAACTTTTCAATTTCAATCACACTGTATAATTCAATTCTGTACTGTAATTTGCAATATTAAGTATAGAAGGACTATATATTTACTAAACAATTGTATTAACATAAAAAGAATTTTAAATGAAATAAAATTTAAAACTTACAGCTAAAAAACATTGGATGCCAGCTTGTATACATTCTACATAATAATATTGTAAAATACAACCCTCAACAGTGGTTGGAAGAGGAAAAAAGTGCTGTTCCTCTGGAATGCCTGAAAAATTGAAAGATGACTTGCATCCTATGCCGTGCATCTCCCACCAGCTTTTACTTCCTGTACCCATATTGAGAATGCTGGAATCCTGAATAATAAATTTTATTCTTTTAATAAAACTTTTATTTATAACAAAATAAAATATTTTTTAAATTATAATAAAGCAAGGAAATCTAATTTAAATGCAAATAAAATACATATTATTCAAATATGTAATGAATTTAACTATTGTATATAATTACATTATAAGATTCTTTATACAAATATGTTTTAATATACAATTTTTTTTAATTAATATATTAATTTATTATAACTTCATGTATAATTTTGCAACTAATGCAAAATTATATATGAAGTTGCAGAACTCTTAAAGAAGTTTCTCATTTTAAAATAACTACTACAATTATTGTTCTTATTTTTTGAAACATGCCATCTACTACATTATAAATTCTACTTTATCCTTATCCTTTCAGAAAGGCCAAAGACAATAAGTTCAATCAACGCAAGCGAGAGATGGAGAACAATGCCCCAACAAAAACTACTTAAAATAAATTACAAAGACCTGGATCTAGCATTAATCTACTGAAAATAACTTGCAGAAATAAATTAATATCTTATTACTTGGCCATATGATCAACAGTAAATTTACAGTAAATAATTATTTAAAAATTGAATATTTTTTAGAATTCATCTGTCTATCTAAATTTAGTACTGTATATATAAATTTTTCTGTATAATCAGTTACTATTTCTTTATACTAAATTATGCTTAAAGGGTATAAGAATGATTTTTTACAGTAAAAGAAAGTAATTATATTTAGTTTCAAAAAGCAAATTTTTTGCATATTTTTTTTCATTGTAATATAAAGAAAACCTTGCTAATTCAGACTTCACTAATTTGAAATTTGTGACAATTCAGACAACTACAGAAAATCCTTTATAGTTCAAAATTTGAGAGATAAAATATTTGCAACTTTGAATTATTGAGTTTCGAATTATCTGACATTTACATATTTCTGCACAATATGCCAAATACCATGTAACTGATGTAATTTATTAAGCGAACACAATATGCCTACATGTACAGAAAGCTATTTTCATTAATTAATAATAATTACTGTAATAAAGTAAATAAACTGCCGGTAAACAGCACATGGCTGTTGAGAACCTCACATGTTCCAGATAAGTTTATAACAAGCAAAGCAGAATTCCTTAAAATGTAGCCCAAATCATTTTTTAAATTGGCCCAAAAATTAGTAAGTCACTCAAATCTAGTAGCCCTACAAATATCTCAACAATCTGCTACTCATAGTCCAATCTTGCAATCCCAAAAACTGGCTTTATGTTACGAGATAAGAGAAAAAAAGGGTATTCCATGGGTAAAGTAACACCCAAAAACACCTAAATTTGGACAGAATTTTCACTTCAAATTTTGAAGTAGCCATATTTTGAACTAATTGAATTCCTTAATGTGTAAATCTCTATATTCCCAGTTAGGACAAATAGGCCTAGTACAGTTACAAATGAGATTTTGTACTGTCTGAGTTTGAATTAACAAGGATTTCATGTATTTTACATTGTGTAATTTTTAAACTAATTTTTCAAAATGAGTTTGTCAATTCTAATTCAGACTCTGACAACTATTACCTTACTCTTGAACAGATGCATTGAAATAAAATCAAGAAATGGTTAAAGGAATCACAAACAAAAATTAGCTTATTTTTTAAACTCAAATTAATAAATGTTAATGCCAACAAATTTAATTTGATAACCAACACAAAAACAAACTTCTGTTACTACTTTTGCATTGTAAAAGCTTATCATAGCATCATATTTGTTCATTTAAAATGCTCAATAAAATTTGACTTTAAGAAAAGTGTACTTTTTTGGACCACACAATACACAATTGAATCTTGCTAATTCAAACTAGACTTTCCCCCAATTAGTCTGAATTAATGAGGTTCTACTGTATTAAAAAAATTATAAGCTTGCATCTTTTTTCAGCTTCCACATGAAAAATGACAAGTAAGATTATGATCATATCTTTGATTAAGTTTTATTAAAATAAGGCGCACAAAATTTCTTCCATTTGAGATTTCTAGAAAATAGTTCCAGTAATTAAAATAATTTCACAAAATTTTAAATTCTGTACAGTACATTTTATTTTACTTGCGAGTCAAGTACGTTTGATTACTAATGATACAGCAGACATCATCAAATATATTTTCTTAGAAAACAATTTGCAAATGGTTGTGTACACACACAAACTTGGGTCAAGATTCATTACAACAGAAATACTTATTTCTGTTGTAATGAATCTTGACCAAAAATGTAAAATTACCAAAAATGTAATTTTACACCATTTTCAAAATCAAGTATACAGTGATGAAAAATATTTCTAACAAACTCTTAAATCAGATATATACATACATTTTTTATTCTTCATTTTGAAAATATAGCTAAAAAATTTTTAAAAATTATTTGAAAACAGTAAATAAAAACAAAACAAAAGGCTGTTTATGTAATTGAGATCATTTTTCTAGACTATTACAGAAACANAGAAAGGCCAAAGACAATAAGTTCAATCAACGCAAGCGAGAGATGGAGAACAATGCCCCAACAAAAACTACTTAAAATAAATTACAAAGACCTGGATCTAGCATTAATCTACTGAAAATAACTTGCAGAAATAAATTAATATCTTATTACTTGGCCATATGATCAACAGTAAATTTACAGTAAATAATTATTTAAAAATCAATTATCATATAACATTTTCACATAATTTGGCGATTATTATAAATATTAAATTCTGTTATTTTTATTGCTAAGAAACTAAATGGAAAATTCTCATGATAAATTATCTAGAAAATATATAAATATGTAATATTCTAGTTCTCTATGAATTATTATTTATCTATAATGAGGCAGAATTATAATGAGGCAGAATTATAAAAACTATAATTCTGAATCTATAATGAGGCAGAATTATAAAAACATGTCATAAATTTATTATCTACAGCAGTGGTGTCCACTTTTTGACTGGCAAGACAAACTGCAGTCATAGATCACAAATATTTTGTATATTCCATGCTGGAAATACAAATATTTTGTATATAAGTCATGTGTCAAATACACTATATTTGCAGGCCAGATTAATGTGTGCTGCAGGCACACATTAATTTGGCCTGCAAACATTAGTTTGGGCACTGCAGATCTACAGCATAGATTATGAACACCCGTACTAGACAGTATTTCAATGCCTATTTCAAGTACTTTATAGTATTTGAAAATATCAAATTTTTTTTGATCACCCAGATTCAATGCTGGGTCCCCAGAATAGGGTGACCCTTAATTTTATTAGCCATCCAGCCATCATTTCACCAAATATAGTCTAGCATCTAAAGACACTCATTTTGCCTAGTACCTGTACCATAAAGGATTCCACAAGGAATGTCCTGACTGAAGAGTAGATCAAGCCACAGGTGCTCATGTCCAAGATTTCTTGTGTTGAGTACAAGAAATCTCAGCTGTTGTGAATCTAATGTACACAGTACATTTCTAGAAAATTATTATATGTACACAAATCATTGTGAATGTTACTTTTGGGAAATAACATGTTCGTTAATATTTTTGTAGGATTTTCAATCAATTTTAACACAGTGTAGTCATTAAGTTTTGGCTTCAAACAGATTAAAAAGCATGTGTAACCAAATTTGAAGTATACAGCAGCATACACTGGTACAAAATGTCTAATATCTTTACCAATATTTAGTATTTTGCCCAACTTTAAATTATATATAACTATTTTCACATGATGTGAAATTAAAAAGCCAATTAATAATGAACACTTGAATTTAAATCCTAAATTTAAATATAAATGCAAGTCTGTTTGAACTTTTATCTGAATTTAAATTCTATTCTACAAATAACTAACAAAATCTATATATATAAAAATGAATGTGTGTGTGTGTGTGTGTGTGTGTGTCCTTCATGCATTACCAAACTGTTTATCCGATTGCCGTGAAACTTTGAGAAGTTGTTTAATACACTCCCGCGAAAGGTTTCTGACATTTATCCTACGATAGATGGCGCGTGTTTACACAAGCATTCGAGCACGTGTGTTCGATCAATTTCAAATTGTGAAGACCTTTTCCCCCCTTCAAAAAATATCTCTATATATGCATTTGTGAACTGTTATTTACGATATTTGTAATAATTTTTGTTTAATCACTTTATTTCAACTTTTTTTTGCTAATTATGTATTCGCTTGAACTTTGTTAAAACCTTAACTGTACCCCGAACAACAACCGAAGTTGTAGGAAGAAATTCGCGTATTTTACCGATCTAGGTATCCCCCCTTTCAAATTTTAATATAGACTCAAAATAATTTAAAAAGACAAATTACAATAAAACGGTTTATTATCCAACTATCAGAAATTTCACAACATGCCAAGGAAGAGAGGAAGGAGCAATTAAATAATTAAAATTATAAAGGATTTTAAAAAATATATAAAAATGAGGAATATCGCACTTCTGACAATCGCTGCGAGTGTGTGGGCTAAATTTGGAGAATCCGTGCTTCTCGCATGGACAACTGTATGTGGCCAACTCATGCATCGGAAAACCTGATTTATTCGTGTATGCACCAGATGGAAAAACAAAAAATATAGTGTATCCACAAACACTCCAATAAATAAATAGAATTGAAACGACACTTTGAAATGTTTTTCCAATGAAAATGAATAATAATAATAATAATAATAAGTTTCAATAAAAATGATAAAATATAAATTAAATTTTATCATAACGAGTTTGCTTAAATTTCGTTTCTTCTGAGATCGCAGCAATGCGCAACAGGTAAGCTAGTTTACAATAAAACCCAAAATCACATTTTATTCAAGCAGATTCTAGAAAAATTTCTACTATTCTGCTAGATATTCTTTATTGTTCTTTGTAGAACCATAAAGATATAAAGAATTGGATTTTTCAAAGTTTATTTATAAGTTTTGATTGTTCATTCAATTTCTAAGATAAAAATCACCCATTTAATTAAGACAAAAATATTGTCTTAATTTAAATATTCTCTCTGAATGTATTATTGGAATTTTTAAAAAATATTTCTATCTTACTCTAATAACATATTTAAAAAAAGAATAGGAAATAGGCCACAATGAATTTTAATATTAACATTTAGTTGCATGACTGACTATTTCCTTGATATATGTCGAAAATATGATTTTAATTGATAGTATGAAATTTTATAAGATGTCAGAGCTTGAATTTTACCAATATGTTTCAAAATAGATTAATATTGTTTCTTATATACTCTGAACCATTATCAGCTATCTTTCGCTGGATTTGAAGTAGGATTAACTCGTATTAACTGATCATTTATATTCCTTTCCTAAAATCAGATGTTTCAGATTTATGTCAGATACTCTGCTGAAAAATTTATTCAAGACATCCTAGTAAATCTAAAAAGTAAACAATGTTACAAAATGCTTTAAGTGTACAGTTAAGCTGATAATGATAAGATTTCATTACTAATCACATACACTGAACCAATTTACAGTGTGGTACGATCAACAATGAAAAAAACAAACGTTTTCAAACCCCTTCTGGGCTCTTCATCAGGTTCCTATAGTTTTAGCTCATAAATTCGATTAACGAATGCCATTAAAATAACTTCGTTCATGAGTTTGAATCGAATCAGAAGAGCCTTCACACATTCTTCTAACATCCAGGCTTGCAACAGAGAACTAGCGTCTATACAGCGAGTAGCCGCAGAACATGGGTATCGCAAAGTTATACGTAAGATCATACAGCATTATAGCCTGATATATGCAGATAGCGCACGACTGCTGGACCAACACAATGATAACCAACAGGAAGACATAGAACGGATCCCCGTCACCTATAACCCATACATAAGATCTATATACTCCAAGATCGCCAAGAGGCACCAAATACATATTGCTTACAGGTGTCCCACTATTTTTAACATCTTAAATAATGGGAAGGACCCTCCTAACCCTAGCAGAAGACCCAGAGTCTATAGTGTCCCTTTGAGAGATAATAGATTCAATAGGGATTTAGTATATATAGGCTCTACTAAAAGATCCATAGGCATATCAGAATACAGGAACATCAGGTGGATATTCATCACGCGAGAAACAACACAGCCCTTGCAACGTACATAACAGACCCGGATATAGTTGCCAACTTTACTTGGGCCAATCTCCTCCTCGGTGCTCCTCCCAATGATCATCTGAAATGGTTAGAGGCGATGCACATCTTTAAAGCATCTATCGAAACTATGTGCATAAATTTTAAAGAGGAGATGCTTTTGTCAATGGCCTGGCAAGAGTTGATTCACAACATGCTTTAGCCGCCCGTTTTATCCAAGTAGGCGAACTTGTCACGCATGCACAACATATAATTTTAAAAGAACGATTCAAACTCATGAACAAAGTTATTTTAACGGCATTCGTTAATCGAATTTATAAGCTAAAACTATAGGAACCTGATGAAGAGCCCAGAAGGGGTTCAAAAACATTTGTTTTTTTCATTGTTGATCGTATCACACTGTAAATTGGTTCAGTGTATGTGATTGGTATAGTGGTGTGGTGAGTAGTTAGTTTTTTTTTTTATTTCATTACTTATATGAAATTCCTCTCTTCTCAGTTTTTAGTGTAAAATCCATTATATGTTTTTTTAAAAGTTATTTCTCTGTTTACCATTTTCTACCTTCTAACAAATCAACTTCAGGAAAATCTTGATTTTCCTGAAGTTAGAAGATAGAAATGCAATTTTAAACATTAAAACTTTTAAATGTTTAAAACATTCCATATTCGTAATGTTCTAAGAACATTTACGAATATGCAAGCTTGAATACAGTAGAGCATCGTTTATCCGAAGGTCGGTTATCCGAAGGAATTCCAGTCGACAAATTTAAATTTTCGTCAGTGCTGTGACACTGTAATCTTTGGCTATGTCTTCGGCTACTCAAATATTTTACGTTTTTGATACTAAATTAGCTTCTGAAGTATAATTTTTTATTGTTTTTATATTTTTCAATATATTTATTTTGCTTGTACAAAATAAAAAATTAATTTTTAACGATACAATTGTCTTCGTTAGGCTTAACATCGACAAAAATTCAACGCGAAGCAACACGCAATAGAGAAAAATTTCAACACGGGATAAATTAATATATTTTTTCGTACATAATTGGTTATCCGAAAAATAAGTTATCCAAACAACCCCAGTCCCCAATTGATTTGGATAAATGACGCTCTACTGTATGCTTAGACTCGCAACTGTAAACAAGAAATCCAACATTTTAGAACTTATTGACTCAAATAAAATAATTAAGAAGAATCTGCAAATGTAAACTGTTTATCAGTCCTTTGAATTGAGAAACCAGTCTATAAAATCTTTAACTGCTACAAAATTTCATTTATTCTCTTCTGAGCTCTACTGTTTGCATGTTTACTATTTTAACTTACCTTTCACATATTATAATCTGTGAATGAGTGTTAAGGGGCTTTAGCATTTTCTGTAATGTATGTTTTATAAAAGATACAACATCCAATAAGTTTAAGAGTTTGTAGTCATAAACAAATCATGCCCTTGATAAACTTTTTAAAACAATAAAAGTAATGCTACTAGTATTGAAAGCTTTCCTGTTGTTTGAATTGTTACAAAAACTTTTAACAACAACAACAGTTCTTAGAAAAACCATAAAAAAACAAACAATCCAAAAAGTCAATAACTGATTCCTTGAACTCCTATAGTGTTATCACAGTTTTTCAATCATTTTATGAATGTACAAAGACATCTGTTTCAAAGATAATGATAATTCCATTAATTACTAAATTATTGGAGCTTTACGTATAATAAACATTTCCCTAACTCTTTCTGGGTTCTTCTTCAGGTTTACTAAATTTGAAAAATAAGCTGGATCTTCCAGAATCATTCATAAATATAAATTCAAACATAAAATCAAACATTAAGACAGAGTTTGAATAAAATGCGCTCCCCATGTCAACTTTATATATGATGGAACACTAAATATCATTGAGAATTTTTAGAAGGGTCTAAAAATATGTTCAATTTCCTGCATACATGCAATAAAGGCATCTAAAATAGTACAGTAGAAGCCAAGTTCTTCAGGGTAATCCTTAACCCTCTTTCTCTCCCCCGCTGTGGGAATTTTGAAAAATTCCTTCTTAATTTGCATTCTCATGCATACCTTATTAAAATGCAAAAAACCGCATCTAAAATAATATAATAGAAGCTGAGTTCTTCATAGTAAGCCTTAATCCTGTCCCTCTCCTCCATGGGGAGAGAATTTCGAAAAATCTCTTTTTAGTGTACATTCTCATGACATACTCTGTGTACCAAATTTCAACTTTCAACTCCTAGCCGTTTGGGCTCTGCACTTATTATTATCATCATTATCAACCCATCTCGATTATATTATAAATTCCAAAAAGTATTTCAAGCTAATCAACTTTCAATGTGTTTTTTGAAATAATTTGTAATATGAAGAAAAAAATCTGCTTTGTCAAATCCATTTTTTAAACAACACACAATATTAAATAATATAAGAAATTTTTAAAATTTAACAAAAATAAAACAATTCTAACATCTAAAAACAATCTTAATTAGATAACAAATTATTTGAAATTATATTTATATTTAAAATTTTTGATATAATCTGGTTAAAATTTTCATTATTCACAGCCAAATTATGAAAAAAATATTGCTAAAATTTTGTATTCAATGCATAGCTAAATTGTATTCTTAATTACTCTAATTGTTATGAATTAATATATTTTACTTACCTTATTTAATACTCCTGTTTCTAAATAAAAACATATCACAAAAATATTCCAGGCTAACCATAACAATGTCCATACTATATACTGAAATAGAGATTTTTAATATTAAAAAATAAATAAATAATGTTTATAAAAGAAATTTAATAAAGAAAAGAGGAAAAAAATAATTTGTATACTTACAATAGCAATATATTTTGGCCTGTACTGATAGGCTCCAAAAAAACCTAATATCACAACAATAATTTGGACAAAATTTACAACAATTGGTGACCACATATATCCAAGAAAATCAAAAATTTGTCGCTCAATAGTAGCAATCTGAAAATTAAAATTAATACTAATAATTTATTAATTTGTGATGCTTACTAATATTTATGATATTAAAAATATTTAATATTTACAATCATATTCTCTTGATAACCAATGCAAATGGAAAATCTCTATTGTAATAATTCTGTATATACTATAAGAAGTTAAAACTAAGTTCTTGTGCATAAACTATCAGAATTTAACTTTGAAAATTTAAGATTCTGCTGCCATTAGTTGCAACTGTTAGCTTTATTAACACCTTTTGATTACTATAAATGCTTTTGGACAGAAACTGATAATTAATGTTTATATGACACATTCTAGTGCCATTAATGTGAATAATCAATAATTTTAAGAACAATATTAAAGTTATTGCACATCACAGCAATTATCTCAAAAATTCATATATTACATCCTAAGAATTAAATTTTACATTTATTGTTATTATATAATACAAAATAGTTTCATCTTTAGGAATTCCATTGTGTGTTGATAATATAAATTTAAGAACTAATCTATATATTAATTTCTATTTCAAATTTTCATAACTACTTTATTTATAACCTGTAAATTTGATAATCAATTTGAATGCTTGGCACAGTATTCATTCTAAAATATAAATTATCAAATGCTTTACTTTTCTAAATTACTATGCTTACAGGTGTCCCACTATTTTTAACATCTTAAATAATGGGAAGGACCCTCCTAACCCTAGCAGAAGACCCAGAGTCTGCTCATAAGACTTGTAAGTTTGCTGTATTTCTTGTAAATAAAATTTTTTATTGTTTTATTTATTACATATTTCTTTGGCATTTTTAAATACATATAATAAGTAAACAAAATGTAAAAAAAAATTTTTCAACACACATCTAGGGACATTTAACATGTTCACTGTCTCCAAAAATGCAAAGTTAATTTATTTACTTTTTATTCATAAATGCTTACTTTTGTTATCTGGTATTATACATTAATTAAAGATATTTTATTGGATCTAAAGTTAAATAAATTAACAAACAAATCTTTAAAGCCTAGCAATAAACTTATTTAATTAACACTTTTTAAAATTATCTTTAGGTTACATCAGCATACAATATTCAAATATTCTGTCAATGTAATTTAAAGATAACTTTAACATTTTGAAATATTAAACATGCTAAAATATTAACTTTAATATTTAAAAAGATTTTTAAAGCCAAAAATGTTACTTAAATAAATTTATTTATGAATTTTAAAGGTTTCTTGAAGAGCTATTCAACTATATATTAACATCTTTAATTTTTTATACACATTTACAAATAAGATTAATTGTATAAGTACAATATTTATATTAAAGAATTAAAGAACATTATTTCTTACTACATCATTAGATATAAATTTCTCATTATATTTTATTTTTATTGATTAGAATATATTAATTCTTGAAATATGATGATATCACTTGATGTCAAAAATATCATTATTGTATTTTCAGTTATAAGCTAAATATTGTATTTAAAAATAAAAGCTGGATGAAAATTTTACCCTTTTAGGTTCACATAAAATTTATTATAAACTATTAACATGCATAAAAAAATTAATTTTATTAGAAATTACATTCTGCATTCAGAAGCAAGCATAAAAACAAAAAACTGAATTTCTCTAAAATTAAGTTTTATATAGCTGATTTAAATTTTGATTATTAATATAAATATATATTTTCATGCTGTCAGTTATTAGCATAAACAAAGAAATTATTAATTGGCAGCCAGAAAACAAGTATTATATCACAGGAAAGCAAATATACGTACATCGGTTTCAGATGCAAATGGGATGCCTTTGATGGGGAATGATAAGCCGAGAAAGAATCAAAGCCACCAATGAAATCAACTGCAATAGAGAGAATGAGTTATTAAAACAAGTTAGTGTGGCTTCACATTCACAAATACATCTCTTTATTTTTAGGATGGTCTTTGATCTTTCTCTGATACCAATGAATTTATTCATAATATAACTTTTCAGTGAAATAGTAGTTAGTCTTAAATTCATTAAGTGTATTTAACAAAAGCAGTTTAAATTCACTGTAGTTTCATTTTCTAAAGTAGAAAATAATTAAATATTAATTTTCTAATGAATATTTTTATATTATTAAAATACTTAACTGGATAATTGATCACATTTGCTTATGTTAAATAATTTTATATAGCAAAATTTTTATTCAAGAAATGATTTGCTTTAATAAGTTAATCAACTATTAAATAAACAAAGAATTTTACTAATAAAGTTCCATTTTCATCACTACAGAATAAGACATTTTAAAATTTATTGAAATTTATTTGCAAGTTTATTAATTCAAACTAATTTTTTTTATTTAATTGCACTGATAAAAATTCATTAATTAAAGTTTTTAAAGCACATTGTTTTAATAATACTCTCATGTTATTTTTGTGCAATTAAGAAGCAAAATCTGGTTATAAAGTTTTTCATTAATCAAATGTTATTAATGTTTGATTAATAACATAATTTGATTAATAACAATAAATTATAAATTTTCATTTTAATAAAAATGAAAATTTATTTTTACACTTCTTAATAACTACAGAGTATGTATAATGAGCCATGCAACAGTATATAGTTATTAAATTTGTAACTAATTTTATCTTAATACGTGATAATATTAGTAAATAAGAGTAAATCATTTTGCAATATCTCTATTTTTTATTATTTTCAAAACATTTAAGTATAATAAATGATTGGCTTTTATGATTTCAGACTAATTACATATTTTGTTTACTAAAAACACTTGTTAAACAAAATTAAATATTACAAACCAATTATGAAAGAGGAACTTTTAATTAATTTNTAAAATGTAGCCCAAATCATTTTTTAAATTGGCCCAAAAATTAGTAAGTCACTCAAATCTAGTAGCCCTACAAATATCTCAACAATCTGCTACTCATAGTCCAATCTTGCAATCCCAAAAACTGGCTTTATGTTACGAGATAAGAGAAAAAAAGGGTATTCCATGGGTAAAGTAACACCCAAAAACACCTAAATTTGGACAGAATTTTCACTTCAAATTTTGAAGTAGCCATATTTTGAACTAATTGAATTCCTTAATGTGTAAATCTCTATATTCCCAGTTAGGACAAATAGGCCTAGTACAGTTACAAATGAGATTTTGTACTGTCTGAGTTTGAATTAACAAGGATTTCATGTATTTTACATTGTGTAATTTTTAAACTAATTTTTCAAAATGAGTTTGTCAATTCTAATTCAGACTCTGACAACTATTACCTTACTCTTGAACAGATGCATTGAAATAAAATCAAGAAATGGTTAAAGGAATCACAAACAAAAATTAGCTTATTTTTTAAACTCAAATTAATAAATGTTAATGCCAACAAATTTAATTTGATAACCAACACAAAAACAAACTTCTGTTACTACTTTTGCATTGTAAAAGCTTATCATAGCATCATATTTGTTCATTTAAAATGCTCAATAAAATTTGACTTTAAGAAAAGTGTACTTTTTTGGACCACACAATACACAATTGAATCTTGCTAATTCAAACTAGACTTTCCCCCAATTAGTCTGAATTAATGAGGTTCTACTGTATTAAAAAAATTATAAGCTTGCATCTTTTTTCAGCTTCCACATGAAAAATGACAAGTAAGATTATGAGCATATCTTTGATTAAGTTTTATTAAAATAAGGTGCACAAAATTTCTTCCATTTGAGATTTCTAGAAAATAGTTCCAGTAATTAAAATAATTTCACAAAATTTTAAATTCTGTACAGTACATTTTATTTTACTTGCGAGTCAAGTACGTTTGATTACTAATGATACAGCAGACATCATCAAATATATTTTCTTAGAAAACAATTTGCAAATGGTTGTGTACACACACAAACTTGGGTCAAGATTCATTACAACAGAAATACTTATTTCTGTTGTAATGAATCTTGACCAAAAATGTAAAATTACCAAAAATGTAATTTTACACCATTTTCAAAATCAAGTATACAGTGATGAAAAATATTTCTAACAAACTCTTAAATCAGATATATACATACATTTTTTATTCTTCATTTTGAAAATATAGCTAAAAAATTTTTAAAAATTATTTGAAAACAGTAAATAAAAACAAAACAAAAGGCTGTTTATGTAATTGAGATCATTTTTCTAGACTATTACAGAAACAATACATATATGAAAATGTTTATATTTCATAGATTTATGATTATTAATATACTTTTAAAATTTACTATTTATAACTGAACTCCTTAAAAAAAAATGATTGTTTTTTTTATTAGGATCATTTATTTACATATTACTGAATACATTTAATTTATTATTAGTATTGATATGACGAATTTAAATTGCATAGTAAATTTGCCTATCCAAATACATGATTTAAATCTACTCATCTAAATCAATTCTTTTTTAAATATAAAAAAATAATGCACAGTATATTTTCAAAATCTATAAAGAAATAAGAATTAGTTATAATCAATACAAAACTAAAAAATATTCTAATAAAATAAATCAAACATTAATTATATATTTTTATATAATATAATCAATTTTGCATAAATAGAACTAATACACGGCATTTTTCAATTAAAGTTTAACTCCATTATTATTATTATTATTATTATTATTATTATTATTATTATTTTGTACATTATAAAATAGTTGCTTAAACTTGATTGGGATTTTTCATATACACATTATATTTCATGATACTACTACTATTATTATTATTAAAATTGTCTCATTTTGGCAATTGTTCAAACTTCCTTGTTTGAATATAATAACCTAGGAAACCATTTTAAACATCTACTCCTTATATTCTATTAATCTATTATATAATATATATATATAATAAAAATAAATATAATTATAAATGCCTGAAATGGCATAAAAAAAACAAAAAAATACAATATTAGTAAAATAAATAGGTAAATTTAATGTTGAACTTTATAAGATGCTTCTTTAGAGCTGATTGAAAGAATACAAAAACTTCTAAACAAATTGTTTTGTTTTCTAAATGCATGGCTCAAGGTCATTCTACTATCTTTTGAATAGATCCTTTGCATGCACTAAGGATGAAACATCACATTAAAAAAAAAAATTCCAATCACCTTATCAATAGTAAGGGGAAAAAATGTTTTAACTTCTTTTTAGTCTGAAAAATCAAAATTCTTTTAGTTTCAAAAGTATGACTACATGTTTTTGTGAATAAAACTGAATAGAAACTAAAGATAGAATAGAAATATGCATCATAATGTTTTTAAAAGAATGATGTTGCATTGTATTTATTTCAGATTTGTTAAAACTGAAAAAATTCATCTTTACATCCAGATTTTCCATTAAGCTAAATAAGCTTAAGCTTGGGGCTGCAGCTTTCAAGGGACCTCTAAATTTTTATTTTATATTACATTTTGTTTAATTTATATTGTACATGTCTTAAAGTTAAATAATTTAATAAAGACTTTGCCATGTATTAATAATCTGTGTAAATAGAAATACAGTAGATCCCCCTATAANTAACTGTTAGTTTTTCTTTTTGAAATAAGCACAAGTAAAGAAATTTAATTACATTTATTATTTATTCAAATAGTTTTTAATCAAACAGAGTAGTCTGTATATTAATAGAATGGTAACCAAGGCAGCAAGCTAATACAGATTAATTTAAAATTAAACATTAAACGCAACACAAAAAAATTGTTTTTATTACAAATATGACACAAATTCCCATATTCTGTAACAAGACAGGATATGTCAATATTATAATTTCCTCAATTTATATTTGTAGTTCTGCTACAGTTGTACTGATGTTCAGCTCAAAAAATAACAATAACTACTACTATACTAACAATACTAGCAGAAAAAATTATTTACTATTTCAAAAATAAAATATAATTTGCACACTTTAATATACTGTATGTACTACAGAATATTCACTGCTTAATAAGTTTATACAAAATCTGAAATCATTTATAAAATTTTATCTGCATTTGAATTAATTTTTGAATAAATTAATATTTACTAAAAATATGTTTCTGTTACAAGTTACTTTGCATAAAATAAAAATAGTATTTCTTATAAATACTTAAATATTCTAAAATTAATGCAAAAATTTATGGATGAATTAGCATAATAAACATAAAATGGTTGGTAAATTTACAAGAAATTTAATGTAGATAAAAATTCTATTATTCTGGAATTTATTAAAGTTCTTGATTTGAAACACTGATCTCTACTTGAATTAAAATGAAATGTTTGAAAGATAGTTAAAGTATATTCCAGATTTTTAATAACCACCTTCCAAATTTATTTATATATTATTATTTTAAATAAAATAAGTTGCAAATATTTAATATAAATATACTAAACTATATTTAAATATTATTAACTGTTTCAAAATTTTCTGTATTAAAAAGCAAAGGAAAAAATTTTGATGTGTAGCGAACAGCAAAACTGTACAGACCATGTTAACGGAAAAATAAAAAATAGTCATTCAACGGTGTAACCAAGTTTCCTTCTGTTGTTGTTATTGAAGCAAATAATCGGAACAAATAATTACTTCAATTTAAAGCTATTTATGCAATTATAAATTTAATTTTAGCAATTAGCTGGCAGCTGTCACAACTAATTAAAATAAATTTAATAAATTATATAAAAGAATTTCCTCTCCAGACAAAAATTTTATTTGATTTTTAAAAGGGAAATTAAATCAATTTATTCTTAAGAAAAAACTTGTGACTAAATTTACAGTTTTATCTGCAACATTTATACGATTTAAATTCTGTTAGCTTTTATACAGAAGCATTGAAGCAGAAATGTGGAGTTCAATGCAGACCAGGCAGACCCTGCACTCCACGATGCTCGAACAAAAAAATAGAACAGAGGATCATTATGAATTGTGCAGTTTTAAATTCCTGTTTAGATCAATGAATGGAGAATTATTTTATCATTTAAAAAGTTTATACTTTTTTTAATTTAAGTTATCTTTGTTTGATTTGATAAAATAGTAATTATATGCATATACTTCTTTTAAAATGCTTATAAAGTATATAAGCATTTGTAATAATAAAGATATGTTCGTAAAATTAAGTAAAACTTTTTTAATTCAAATGTCTGTAAATGGAATATTTCTTTAACTCAAAGAAAACGAAATTTGGTACATCTCGACAGAATAGCTTAAGGTTTTAACATCAACTCTAATTTCCTTAACTCAAATTCTTTCCAAGTCAAAGGTTTTCACAGTCCCAACACCAATTTATGTTACTTTCAACTTCCTCGATGCAAATTTTAATATTTATTCTCTCAAAAAAGTCCTAATTATAAGATTTCCATGAAATTTTCTGACAGTTAGTAGTACAGTGCAACAACCATTTCCAATCCAAAGCAAGATCTCTCACTTTATTTCAATAAGATGTACTGTACCTGTAAAACTGATTGCATTCACTACATTGAACATTTTGCCAAAAGGTATTACACGGACTATTTAAAACAAAAAACACTATCAAAGATTCTTTATATAATGCAAGGGAAGCAAAAACACAAATCGGCATTTTTCACTCTATTGTTCCATAACTTGAATCATCCATAACCAGATTTTCTTGCCTCTCGGAGCTTCAAATTAGAGAAGTTTTACAATAATCTACAGATACGAAAACTAACACAAAAGTCAATGGGTAGAGATTATTTTTAGGTAGTTAGCTCATGCATACATATATAAACAATTGACTAAAGGTAACTTCTACTAAATCTATGATAAAGAAAAGCATTAGAAAAAATAATTAAAATTAAAAATTGCATTTATATAAAAGTGATGATGATAAAACAGTCAGAACTGAAAGTGCACACGCTATATATTATATTTAAATTAAAATAAATAATAGAAAAATCAAACAAACTTACCAACTGCACGACACATAACGTCAGAAGGAAACATCTTGACGTACAACAAGCCATGGTATCAAAATTCTATCCGCCGAGTGCCTTAAAACGTTAACTGTTGTTATAATTATCGTAACTTAACCCATTTAATCATCCCTGATCAGCGATCTCAGTCCTCCCTTGTCCACAAATTAAAGAAAAAAAAAAAGTTAAACGGAATTACGAGTAAGTTGTTATGAGGAATCTCTATTCATGAGTATGAATTGTAACCGACAGAGGTCGCTAATATAAAACCGTCCATGTTTAATTGCTTTCTTTTTTGTGTGTTTTTTTTAAATTACATATATTCGAGTCTTTTAAAATAAATGTTTAATTCTATATTTTTTCTGGAGTTGTAAAATTTATAAATAAATTTATGAATATATATGGAATAAGGAAAGATAATTGAGATTATAAAGTTTCCTCATTTTTATTGCTCTAATCGATACTAATATGAATATTTTTTTCGTTAATTTCTATTTCAAGCTCGATCATATTTCTTGTAATTGATAAATATAGCATTCGTAAACCGAAATTTTGTTCTCAAATTAAAAAGTATCAAATACAACCTTCGGTTATGTTTTATGTATGAAGCTTTACCTTTTTTTTTTTTTTTTTTAAACTCTCCTCCCTGTGGGCACTAACTTGTAAGAGGACTCTTAGCAAGCCTATTATGGGTTCGGCCAGGCCGACAATGAGGCTGCCGGGTAATGAGGGACGGGGTCCGTTATATCCGGACGGACGACCCCTGAAAAATTCCTGGGGATTTTTCGACCCGTCCGGATTCTAATTTCAGGTCCCCAGAGCGATGGGCTCTGATAGGCACCTTGACCGCACAGCCATCAGGTCTGAAATTCTATCTGAATTTATTATCTAATATTAAATAGCTGGAACGTTTAACATTATGTAATTGTTCTCATTAATTACTGTATATGTTTATTGATATAATGGACAGACGGGTTCCGGCCCCTTGAAATTAGTTGACGTCCATGGAATTACTGTATTGTTTATACTATTTGAAAACACTGAATTGTGTAAAATTATAAACATTCAAACTAAATGACTAAAAAATGATATAAATAAATATGTAATTTAATTATAAATTTAAACGTTTTGATTTTATTCTATCCAAATGAGTATATCTCACTTTTTATAGTGTAAAATCAAATATATATATATTTTTCATTTTTAATTGTTTTAGCCTTGGGGACAATAAGATGGCTTTTTAATCACACTTATTATTGATTCAGTGGCCAGGCCCACAATAGGAGAAACCGAGTGACGAGAGACAGAGCCTGACATATCCAGGATCATCCACACATAAAAAATTCGGTGGTTGTTCGTCTGGATTCCATTCCGGGTTCCCCAGAGCAGTAGACAGACGCCTTAACCGCTTCGACCATCCGGTCGTCAAGTGAAAAATGGCCAAACTTTGTAACATCATTTCATTTATCTCAACCGAAACTATGTACTATTAAAATTAATTTTATATATTAAAAATTGATCTTAAAATATATATATATATATATTGTAATAAGTTATGAGCAAATATTAAAATTCTTCTGTACACATTTATTCAATTTTCTTTGCTTAAATCTTAGTATCATACGCAGAATATATTTATAAACGAGAAACTCCAAATATTCGTATTATACAAATGTATGCCTAATTTTGCACCATCCTGTATATTTAAAAAAATTTAAAGAATATAATTTTGAACTTGAATCTGAAGTGATCTAAAATAATATTTAATTATCCGATTTTGTCAGATAAAGAGCGAGTCTATTGTTAAAATAATGCTACCACTTCTAACATTTAAACATTGTTTTTCTTTTTACTGTTATGTATTTCTACATGTAACTGTAAATGAATATGAAATACTGTAGCATCACAACCTCCTAAACCTCGTGTAATACATTAAGAATTCTATCTGCACGACAAACTTTTATACGACATATCGATATATTACTTATTTTCTTCTATTAGTACAGTATATTTTATATAGTTTTAGCTTGTGTCTGTTTTTACCTGTATAAGGCGACTGTCAACTCAAACACGTTTAACGCTGTGTCTTTCTGTGTGATTTTTAAGAAAGTGATAAAACACCGCTTTACAAAACCTGCATGAAAATATTTGCGAAATTTCTGTCGAGTGTACTTAGTCAGCGGAAAACGTTATCTTTAGAACTTCGATACAATTTTCACACGTTACACCACAAAGCCACGTCAAGGCAACATCCATTTTGTGATAATTTTTTGTTTTCCAGAAATTCACCCCGATTGCTCGACAGAATAACAATCAGGGAATAAAACTGGATATTCGTTGCTATTCGATTAATTCGGTAACCTAAAATCGATGACAAAACACACAATTTTTAACTCAAATATTTCTATTGAGTAAAAGGCATTTTCAACGGTGGCGTGTCGTGACATTTGATGATAGAGAAGCTGTGTTTCTGTAAGAAGTCGACTTCCAGGGGCAATCAGTTAATTCGCGTCAGTGATGGTCCGGACAATATTAGTCAGCATCCAAACCCATTGAAATCGGGTGGACCCCGGGCCACGTGGGAATACACATTAACGAGGCGGCAAACAGAGCCGCGAGCACAGATACCCCATCAAGCTCTTGGCGTAGGTCTCTTATGGCCCGCGATTTAATCCAGGAGTATAGAGAAAAACAAAAATTAGAGATCACAGAATTTTGGTCAGCAAACTTGCGGAGTAAAGGACGAGATCACCTCAAACTCTTCGCTCCCTGGCCTTACAGGCACGCTTCTTCTCGGGACGCGGAGACCTTCTTGACCCGCCTTAGAACTGACACTGCCCATCTAAACAGGTTCCTCTGTTCTAAAACCTACGAGCTTCACCAGACTGTCCAAATTGTGGCGCTCAGGAGACATCCAGACATTATTGGCTGACGTGCCCAAGATGTATGGAAGCCCGACAAGAACTCGGCCGTACTCTGAAGATAAACCTCGCAATCATCAAGACTTTAACACCATATATTCGGCAAGAACAGACCTCTCACCCAGACAGCAAGTGCAGGCCCTCGAACGCTACGTAGCTCGCACTACGATTTGTCTAATAACGGACAAGAGTACATCGGAGAAAAGCTGATCCAGACAGAATCTCCATATTAGAGAAGAAAAAAAAGGTCCATTCGTATCATTTGTTCGATAAGCCAGTAAAAATCGCAGACTTCTCTAAATGTATTTTTAATTAATTAATATCGCAATTACATTCTGAATCGCTAGCCACGATATAAGTGCTAAAATTAAAAATAAAATTATAAAAACTTACTTGGTGAAATAAAATATGTGGTAAATTTACATACCTGGTACAAAATATTCTTCAATTGTATGAATATACTTTTAAATAAAACTACTATATAATTAAATATAGCTTTGTAAAGAAACGTACATAAAAATAACATAAAATCTTCTTTACTTTTTAAATCTTAACCACTTAGTCAAATAGCTCCCTACGAGTGGCTAATGGATGGAATCAGAGACGGTCCTGGTAGGTGCATGCACGCGAGTTGCCAAATCCCGAGGGTGCCGATAACGGTTAATGTCAAATGCCTCTTTTGTCACATCACTAGTATACCTCAAAGGACGCGACAGAGTTGTACATTTTAAACATTTCTCACCATAGCTATAAAAATCTAAATATGTTAAACTTAATAGATTGTCTGTCGTTTGTTTTCTAACTAATTCGTTTTAGGACCATGGAAATTTTCAAAATTTGATTTTCAGTCACTATCATTGAACTGGAAAAATTTCTGTCTTTATTACATCTAATATAAATCAGTCCTCACTGTACTCGGCTAGAGATTGGTTCGGTTAAGCTTTTAGCAGTGGCGTGCCTGCATTAGAAGCGGTGGATGCGTCGCTTCCCTTATATTTTCTAAAAAATAAATACATATTAATTTTAATTATATGAAAATAATCGCACAATATTTTATTATAACCGCACTATGTATCTTATTACAAATTTCTACACTACATGTGAAAAAAAAATAAGATTGCTATTGTATATTCGAATATTAGTAGCGGAGTAGCGGAGTGGATACCCTGTATTGTCAGCATCCAAAAAAGCCAAATTCGCGCATGCGCTTTACAGAGCACCAACCTCACCCGATTTAGCTGGTGGGAGCTTAGGACCTTGGGTGGATGCTACATGTATAACGCATCCAATTCTATCCAGGACCGGTTCCGGGCTTTTAGCCGCCCGCCCGATTACGTGAGTCGCGAGTAGATTTATAACTTAAATCCAACCGATAAGAATTTAATGGTATGGTTTTATGATAGTTCTGTATAGTTGAGAGGAGTTTAAGAAAATCCGTTAAAATATTTGATATATTTATTCCGCTCTCCGATTTTATATTACTCACGGATTTCAATGTTAAATCAGTGATATTACGATTTCGTATGTTCCATCTATAAGAGGATATAGAAAAAAAAAACGTGTACAATTCTTGTACAATATTAAAAAATTAACTGTTACTTTGGTATCATAATTTACAACTAAATTTAATGAATGAGAGATGCACGAGGTACAGAAAAAGCTCTAGAATTTATTTTCCTTAAATTTACGATTTATGTATCCGTTTGTCATAAAAATTTGTCTTTCCACTTTTTTCCCCGACACTACAAATATTCGAGTACAAAGTAACCGTTTTCGACTTATTTCTACTTAAGAAGTAGTTAAATAATTAAGCGATTAGGGAATTAGGGACATAAATAAAACCCTCATGAAAGAGCCGAAATTTTACTTTACTTACACAAAAGCCTAACCGAACCAATTTCTAGCCGAGTACAGTGGGACTAATTTCTTCGAAATATTAGATGTAATAAAGTTTCAGTTCAACGAGAGTGACCGAAAAGTTGTTAATTTTGGAAATTTCCGTGGACACCTGATCCTAAAACGAATTAGTTAGAAAACAGATGACAATTAAGTTTAACAAATTTAGATTTTTACAGTTATGGTGAGATACATTTAAAATTTACAACCCTGTCGAGTCCTTTGAGTGATGTGACAAAAAAGGCATTTGACATTAACGGTTATTGGCACTCTCGGGATTTGGCAACTCGCGTGCATGCACCTACCAAGACCGTCTCTGATTCCATCCATTAGCCACTCGTAGGAAGCTATTTGACTAAGTGGTTAAGATTTAAAAAGTAAAAAAGATTTTATGTTATTTTTATGTACGTTTCATTACAAAGCTATATTTAATTATAATTTTCTTTAAAAGTATATTCATACAATTGAAGAATGTTTTGTACCAGGTATGTAAATCCACCACACATTTTATTTCACCAAGTAAGTTTTTATAATTTTATTTTTAATTTTAGCCCTTATATCGTGGCTAGCGATTCGGAATGT